AACCCCGTAAGAGATCCACAATTAGAACACCAAGGTATCTGCAACACCCTTTCTTCTCCGCCAACCCCCCCTAAGAGGCGAAGCTATCTGCAATACCCTTGCTTCGCACCGACAACCCCCTTAAGGATCAAAAAAGTCAGATCTTGCCCATTGAAGTACTGTCACAATTCCAATACTCGTCCTGCGCCAAGCATAACTTGCAATACATATAGTTTCTTACGGCCATGAACGTTTAACCTCCTTTCCTCTGTATGTATATTCTGCGAATAGAAAAATGTCGGTACTCTACGCCCCTTTGTTTGGCCTGCATGCGCGAGCCCGCGGGGGAGGGGGGGTCGGGTGCGGGAGATCCTGCGAAGAGAGATATGCCTTGGGTTTCAGCAAGGACTTTCCCACTTTGTGGGAGGGTTCTACAATTATGTGCCGCCAAGCCTAGGAAACAGAACTTGGCTATCCTATAGAATCCCCGGAGAAGGGTACTTGCCCGGCCAGCCCATGATGCCTCCACCGTTTCCAAAAGACAAAGAGTCCGTGGGTTCGGTCGTCTGTGGAGGCCCTTGGAGCTGGTCTGGGCGGCCGCTCCTCGCTGCGGGTGCTGTGTCTCCACTGCAATCGCATCGGCGACAGCGGGCTCCAGGCCTCGGGGAGGGGGAAAGTTGTCGAGTCGGTGCTGTATAGAGGCCCTGAAGATCTTTTCAGACATCCGGCTGCGTGATGGCAAGATTGAGGGTGGAAGGTGCACGTCTGCCCGTGGCCTGTCCCCACGCAGGCCATCGCCGAAGGCCTGGCAGACCACAAGGGCCTACGAGACCTAAGCCTGGCCAAGAACAGCTTCGGCGATGCGGGGACGCAGGCCTTGGAGTTGATCAAGTTGGGATTTGTTCGGTGCGGGTGCACTGCCTGTTCCGTCACAAGTGGGCAAAGAACCTTCCATGCGGAGTCCTCCTGAGCCTCGGTCTGTGACGAGTCAAAGTCCGGGACAACTTCCAAGACCCGCTCTCCCTAAGCTTCCTCGTTTGCAGAGGCCCTGGGAGAAGCACTGAAAGCTCTCCCGAACATCGAGGACCGCCAGTTGCCAGTCTCCGCCGGGGTTTGTAAAGGTCGCCGGGGAGCTCTGCTTGGGAGCGGCATGCTATTCGGGTTTGACTGATCAAATGTGAAGGGTAGCTCAAAAACCCTTAAGCAAGGAAAATTCCTTAAATGCTGTAGGGTTCCTCCAAACCCTATAAAGGCCTGAACCCTAAACCGCGAGTTGAAGGAATCTTCCCCCCCGAAGTTTGAAAGGGATCTTGGAGCCTGTCGAAGCTGTGGGTTCATGGGCTGCCTAGCCGCGCTTCCTCATCTGTTTAGGGCTTTGGGATGTTTAGGGTTTAGGCCTTATAATGTCCAATAAGGAGCTTCCAGTTGAGGCACTTCCCTGAAGCTCGCTTGGTTTCGAGTCGCGTGGGATGTCGCGAAGGGTAGGCCGTCAGTCCCCGTTTGTCAGGGCGTTGCGAAGTTGATCCTGAGCCCCAGATTTGCCAAGCTTGACTGCACCAAATTGTCGCATGCCACATTAATCCATGGATCCAAGTATCTGAGTGTCCGAAATCGAGTGCTTAGCTTGCTTGAGTTTGAAGTTTGATCTGACAAGCTCGTGCATTTACCGACGGATGCACGCGTTGCATAGCATGGGGTCTCGCAAGGATGGCAGCATACCTCGTGCATAGGCATCACGTCTGTTGACTTCATGAAAACAACACAAGGCGGTGCAGTTCTAGAGATGTCTGCCCGAAGTCTCGATCTGAATCTGAGCCGCACCAAAGCTGAAGCCTTTTCAGGGCAGCAGCAAGCCTCAAAAATCGCCGTGCGGCCGCATCTTCTCTCAACTCGAATGCCACAAGTTCGCATTCCTACGAGCCCCTCGCGGCGAAGGAGCTGGGGCTGGGCGAGAATGCCATCGGAGACTCTGGAGTCCAGGCTGGGCCGCTGTGGAAATATCACAGAAGACTTCTTAAGCGAGCGCGTTCTGTGAAGCCCTGCGGGCTATAGAGGCAGACATCAGCTTTCCGCATAGCCAGTACTGAAGTTAAGTAGCACTGATACAGACCTCGGATCTTCCAAATCGAATCTAGCGGGGGACTTGGTCTCATTTGATGTTGTACTTTTGCCTGAGCCGAGGCAAGATAGACCAAGCGGAGTGTTTGAACACCTAGACTGTCAAGCCCACGCCAGTCCTAACGAAACTCATGGTGCGCTCCAGCACGAAACCGATGCTGAGCACCTTCCAGCCAGACATCTCAGTTCTGGCAGTTTCCAAATAAATGGGGTTAGAGGCTTCAAGAGTTGGCAGGCCCCAGGGTCCGAGAGTCGGGGAGAGGAGGGCTGTGCAATGCTGTGCATTCTGTTGGCAAAAGCAGCGCAGGGCAGTAGGTTAAGTGCGTCTGTGGGAGGCAGGGAAGCCTGGGCTTGGGTCCGTGCCCTTTAGACAGATGAAACGTCGTGAGCCTTGCAGTGAAAAGGACACGCCACCACTTCACTCCCTTTTCAATGACCCAAGTACAACTTGAAAACGCTGCTGGCCCCCAAGACGTATCTAAATCGTATCCTTTGTCAGTGTATTGGTGCACTATTCCGCCCGCGCCCCATTCATGCTCGTGGTGTTGCGTTGTCATTCTGTTTTCGTCTTTTGACGACTGTGGCAGCCGGGCCCAGGAAAATTACCAAGCCCAGGGGCCCCCGAACTCCGACTCCGACGCGCTAGCGCCAACCACGGCACCAACCATTGCGAAGCAGCAAAACGCACAGGACAAACCTGTCATGAGCTGGTCGACTCTCAACAGTTGCTGAATTTCAAGGGGCCCGTGGGTCAGTGCCAACAGTGAGGAATTCCATTCTGGCAGATGGAGCCATGCACGCTGCAAGTTCGAAATGCGGCAAGCCTAACTTTCGACATGCAGGCCAATCACCTCATGCTAAGAGCGCCTGAAACATGCAAAGGGCTGGCTGCCTGTTCCGTCTTAAGTGTATATTATTTTCTGCAGAGACTCGGACTGGGAAGGGGCGTTCGGCATTTGGCGCAAGTTTTCTGGCAGCTCGGGCCTCACCGGGAGCCGCGCTGAAGCATCTGCCATGTTGTCGTCTTTTGGCGACTTTTGGGGGCCCGGCAGCCGGGCCAGGATAAACCAAGCCCAGGGCCCCCGAACTCCGACGTGCTCAGGCGCCAATCACGGCACCAACCATTACTATAGCAGCGAGACGCACAGGACAAACCTGTCATGCTGGTCCGTTCGTCTCAGTTGTGGCGGCTGGTCAATGGGGCTCGGGGGATCAGGAAGACGTTTTTTAGGCTCATCGGCACACCAAATTAAGTTCACGGAACCTGCATGAATGCCCTCGCCCCCGGCATCAGCCATCGATTATCCTTCAGCCCACACAGTGACACAGTCCAAGACTGGGGGATGCGGAGGGCTCAATGGGGCAGCTTCGGCAGGCTCTCGCTGCTGGCCTGGGCGGACACGCGGCCTTGAAGGCGCTGATGCTCTACAAAAACCGCATTGGCGACGGTGGCATCAAGGCTTGGCACGGGGCATCCTGTGCGCGGATGGTTTGCTGGAAGGTTGGGGCTGCCAGCCAGTTCAATTGGATTGTAGGGGTTTTTCTGTGGAAAGAGGGCAAGTCCATGCAGCGCATGTTGCGTGCGGCATGGGGCACGGGGAGCGAGGCCCTGGCCAGCGCGCTGCGGCCACATGCGCAGCTCAGCGACTTGAGGGTGTTCAGCAACTCCATCACAGATGTCGGGCTCCAGGCATCGTCTCGAGCTGCAGCTGGTAGACGTGATTTGTTTCCTGCCTCCTGCGTCAGTACCGTAAAAACTTGCTTCCCGAACATCTGAAGATTGATGTGAACCCCAGCGGCGAACAGGTGAGCATGCTGTCCAAACGTGCATGGAAAACAGAAAGTAGCAACTGGGGAGGCCCTTGCAAGACACCATTTTTCGGCATCGAGTTTGGGCCCTCTAAATCAACAAATCATAACAAATCATTCATTCGTAACCTTGCAGGAGTTCCCATTGAAATCTGGGAAACAGCATGCTGCGGCAGCTGCATGGGATTGGGACGCGCAGCTGAAAGAGCGACGTGCTGCGAGTTTAGAATCTAAACATTCTAAATCTAGGTTTTGGGAAGCGGGCTTGGCATCATATGCAGGCCCTGGCCGAAGTCCTCCAGCACCTCACTCAGATGCAGGCCGTGTTGCCATGCTGAATTGCAGCCCTGTAGAAAGCCTCGTGATGGAGTGGAATGTGCTTGCCAGGCCCTGTGCAGGTGCACTGTTCGCATTGTGTATTCCAGTGAGCAAGTAGCGTATGGTAGCGTCTGAGATTGATACTTGTATTGTTTTGGGAACTGCGCAGTATCTCGGCTTGCGCGACAACAGCTTCGGCGATGATGGCGCGCAGGCCGACGACGTTGGCATTCTTTAGGAACCGACAATCCAACAACCTTTGCGGCTCATCATCCTTTCACTTCTGCGCATCCTCCAATTTCTGCGCCGGGGAAGACAGCCCCGGAGTGAAATGCACGAGGAAGCTCTCTGGGACTAAGCTTGCACGGGTGAGGACGGTGAGGGGGTTCTGAAGAAGTGTATGCGGGAAGGCGGAGCATTTTACATTGGAGTTCTCAAAGGCATGTTGCAGCCAGGGTAGCCTGTTGCTGTATTCTTCGAGAGTAAGTTTCAATGCAGCTTCGCAGAATCGGTGCACAGCTCCACGCTGAGATTTCGTGTAAGATTGCAAGAGTCCCCTTGGCCTCTTGGGTTCACTGTTGGTGACGGCGGCTAAGAGCACAGTGAGACCTGAGTCGCATTGGTGAAAGGGGTATAGCTATAGTAGGTGCAGGCCAGCAGCGTGGCTCCATAGCCCCACGTTCTGTGAAGCAAAGCATGGCCCTCAGAAACTTAAAAAGGCGAAGTGACTGTGTCGGGCTCACAGAGTGTTGCCGGGCTTCGGTGTCATTGCGCAGGCCTTGGCCGGGGTCCTGCCGCGACTGCTGCAATTGACCGGGCTGACCCTGAGTCAGAATCGGATCAGCGATGCGGGAGCCGAGGTGCGGGGTTTGCGCGGCTTTGTCCCTTTTGCTGTCCGGCTTCGGGGTGTTTTCAAGTTTGGGACATTTGGGGCTGTTGAACTTGGAGGTCTTGGACCTAGAAGTTTTGAGTCTTCAGGGCGCTTCGATGAACGGCCACGCAGTGAATCTAAAGCAGCAACAATTGCGAATGCCTCTCTCTCTCTCTCTCTCTCTCGCCCTCAGCAACAAGCCGCGCCGCAGGCCTTGGTCCACGGCCTCCGCGACAACAGGGTGCTCAAAATGCTCTGGCTCCACGAGAATTCTCTCAGCGACGCCGGCGTGGAGGTCAGGAAAGCCGGGCTTGGGAGTGTTTCAACCCCTTCAGCTTGATGTTTCCGGTGGAAGCTTTGGATCTTTTTTGGGCTTGCTCTATATAAGTCATGGTTTCCTTTTTGGGCTCTTATATCGCAGGCTGCTTTTAGGGTATTCAAACGAAACCTCTCATCTAGAGCAACCCCCGGTCACGACGCCAATGCTGAGATCCTTCACTGGCAAGGTTCAGGCACAGGTTGCTGCCCCCGATGCATGTCAGGACATTGCTAACACGGTCGGGTTCGCTCATGTGGCTGGGTAGGTCCCTTTTGCTGCTGCTAGTCGGAACACATGTGGCCAAAAAGCAGAAACGAAGACAGAAATCTCGATGATGCAGGCAGTCGCCGCTGCCTTCCGGGATCGTACCATGGAAGATCTGAAGCTCCGCCCGCAGCGCTAGGAGCGTTGCAGGCTCCACAAGATTGCCAAGAATCCTCGTAAGAGTATCTTAGCATCTGAGGGCTTCAAGGGGGCCAACTTATAAGCAACTTATAAGAACTGCGAATGCCCACAGCGCTCGGAGAATTCACTCCTTTTGAGCCCTCCGAAGAGAGAGGCCAAACGACCGCCCAGCTCTGGGGGAAGCTCTCCCATAAAACTAGGGTTTTTGGGGCTTCGGGCTTGGAAATGTAGGCTTAGGGTGTTTAGGGGTTTATAGGTTTAGGTTTTTTTTTGGGCTTACAGGGCTTGGAAGGTCTGGGTTTGGGGGGGTTGAGGGTTGAGAAGTGAAGTCCTCGGGCGCCGAGCGACGCCAAACGCTGTTGTGGTTTCCGAAGCATCCAAAGAGGCCCTGAGGAGCTGATGGGCGCTGATAAAAAAAAACCTTTTTTAGGGTTTTGGGGTTTAGGGTTTAGGGAGCTGTTTAGGGTTTTGGGTTTAGCGCTTAGGGCTTAGGGCTTAGGGTTTAGGGTTGACTAGAGTCATGATCGAAGAAGAGGCCCCCCGGGCCACGTAGGGCCTGGCAGCACATACACTTTGTGGCACAGAGGTGCCTCTTGGTGGGTTTGGCTTCGGAGCCGGAAGCTGTTGAAGAAAACAAAAGGGGAGACCGCAGCCCCGACAATTCGGGGTGTGGGCGGGACATTTGATTTTCCCTCGGGGATGCGGTTTCCCGGCTTGCCTCGCATCGTGCAAGGGCTCCGAACAAACCCGCCCCACAGAATCTCCCAAACCTCTGGGGGATGCTCCTCCATGATTAGGCTTCAATTAGTTGGTAGTAGCCGGCTGCTATTGTTGCAATTAT